GTTGGATGCAATAATAATACTTAAAATAAATACTACCACTTTAAAAAGCATATATTTATGTGACAAATGCCATCTGAAAATTTATCTACATGACTCTGATTAATCTTTATAGCTACTGCATGAAATACATAGGATTAAATCCAATTTACCAAGGAAAAAATGATAGTCCAGGAAAGAAGTTGACAACAATCACATAAATATTAAAAAATAAAAGAGCCAAGATTTGAACCCAGGTCTGTTTTAATACAATGCCTTTTTTTTCTTGGTACTAACTATGAAATGAAACTTTATTTTGGGAAGTATAAAATAAATAACTTCATACAAAAGTACTTAATTACTGATATCAATAAATATATACCTGTGGTGAACCACCTAAAATAAAATTTGTATATTGAGCTGATTGCAGACATATCGTATCTATTAGTGTAACATTTTAATTAAAAGCAATGGAAGCAGTAATAATTATAAACCACAGGAAGGATGTAATCCTATTAAGAGTTATCTCAGTAGTATAACTGGCTCCAGGATATCAGTGAACACCCACACTATTGATATTTAAGGCCAAAAAAACCCTATCTTGATATGGTGGAATAAGAGCAAATGAAGTCGAGAAGGTAAACACATCAAATTTAAAATCAAAGTCCTGATTACAAACAAATTTATAATCTTAGAATGTCTTATTAAATAATTTTAAGGTATAAGTGAAATAAAATTTTCTTGACAGTTTTAAGGACTATCCAGGTCTCTGTTATATAGCTGTCATTTGTCTATAGCGCCAAAATGTAGAAAAGCAAATTGACCAATTCTACTTTTCAATTTCCTGTTTAGCTGTATTGAATGCTGGATTGTATCATATCCCTCCTCAGATTTTCTTTGTCATGACATTTTATGAAAATCTTTTTCTGTCTCATTGTCTTTTAGTTTTGGTGTTCCAAATTTTGTAACTTAAATTTCCACTAATTATTAGAATTCCCCCACAATGGTCTGACTTCTTTACCTTACTGGGAGGTCTAGTTTTCAGCCCTCAGGTTGCTGACTATACAGAGTTTGGTAAAATGCTGTATTTAGATTGTTAAAGAAAGGTATGATTGCTTAAAGATTTTCTATAACTGGATCAGCATTTTGACTCCAGATCTTAGTATTCTTATTAATTCCTTACTGTTAATATTCAGCTATCTAAATGTGGACTTTTCCTCCAGAATATAAGAGAGGAGGCTATTGAATTCTAGTACGTTAGAATTAAACAATCAGTCAATGCTATCTGCTATCATTAAGATCACCCTAGTGATAGAGCCATCATTAGTCATTGATCTCACAGTTTTTAATCAAACTACTAAAACTGGTCACCTGAATTCATGTTCAATAAAGAATTAAAACACACACACACACTGAAATGCACATGAAAATGCTCAACCATGGAAATACATAGTACCTTAAAACTACAAGGACCTATCACTAGAATCAGTGACTCTTCAAATCAGATAATTAGACACATTTCTACTCCCCAGCTGAATTCCTTAGAAAGGAGAAACATTTTAAGGTATGGACCACAAAATAGCTTAAAATAAGGAGGACAAATATACTTTCAACAACTCTAACTCACAAAATACATTTTAAAAGTTTAAAAAAATAAAAGGTTTTAAAAGCCTCAGTAAGTTAAGAATACATTTCCACAATATCTGTGGTGCCCAATCATTAAAAGGAAGGAGAGAAGAAATGAATGTTACTTATACATTCAGGAAAAATATAAAAATAAAAATAAATAAATTACCCATGGCTTCTACAGAGTTGAGTCCTTATTCTTTCTTTTGGATCCATAACCCTCCTCTCTCCCCAGGAGCAAAAGCAATTATGATAAAGGGTGTCCTGATTTTTTTTTTTTTGCCGTCTTGGCTAATTTATAACCCATGCCTTTCTGTTTTTTCAAAATTCTTAAAATTCACTTTCTCCAATACATTTCCATAATGCTCCCATTTTCCAAATTTACCATTTTTAATCTCATTTTCCCAGTTAATAAATACAGAAAATTCTCAATTACCTTCTAAAATGAATGAACATCATAACACCAGTAATTCATAAACCATTTCTATTTGATTCAAATGCATTTGATTTGGTGGATAATGGGCACCCTTTTTACTCAAACTAAATGTGAAATAAGTTTATAACCCCTTAACACTCATTAATTAATAATTCAAGTAAAGGACTTTGCGATTCTAATTGTGACTAAGGAAGCAATAGAGTGGTTGAAAGCAACTTGGCTTGGCTGTTAATATTTATCAAAATTACTAGTATTCAAATAGTTAAAAGCTTGCTGCAACTGCGTACATTTTCCTTTAGCTATACAATTTTACAGTCTATTCTCAATTATCCTTGCCAGTGGAGGGGAACAAGATATTGAACAAAAGCGAACTATTCCAAAATCATTCTCACTTCCTTTTAAATGTGCAGATATTGACATCATACCAGCTACCAATTCAATCTAAATGAGAAGTACTATGAAGTTACTGCTGAGGCCAGGGAAACTGCCCAATGTCCAATACGAACTTTTGACTTTACTAGGAGAGTTTGTATTCAAGTCATTCTTGACAAAATTCAGACTGTATCCAAATTGTAAGCCTACAGAGTAAAACAACTTGTAAAAGTATATAACTGCTGTTAATGGACTTTAGAGTATTTATTAATTATGTCATTGGCAGTGATTTCCTGAGAATAAGATATTTTTTATCTTTGTTGTTTAACTTATTTGTTCTTTTTCCTGACAAGCAGCTGTCAATTTTTCGCATTTGTATATTATCATTACTATTATCATTTTCCTTACTTAACAGATTATGAAAGTGTAGCTCAGACAAAGTAGGTAACTTTCCCAAAGTCACACAGCTAAAAAGGGGAAAAGCTAGACTTCAATCCAAGGCAACTATCTTCAGAGGCCAGGCTCCAAACCTCATTAATGTGTTTGGGGAAAAAAAAAAACAAAACACAACTTGACTTCTCACACAACTTCTATGATTACTACTACAACAATAACAATTTTAAATAGACAAGCAAGGTTCTGATACCAAGTCATGCATCCTTTCTATGCCTATCTCTAAGGCCAGTGATATTCCACCTTTGGAGTCTGGTGACCTGATTGTTTTCCATATTCCCAACCCTTCAAATTCCTATGTGATATTGGATTTAGGCTAGAAATTATAGAACTATCATTCAAAGCACCTTTATATATCATTCAAGCACCTTTATATATACCTCAGTAACATTTTTCCCTAGAAACAAAAAATATTTCTTGGCTGCTTCACTGAAACCTGAGGTTCTGTAGGTAATTTGCAAGGAAAATTAAATCACTATTATAGTTGGTTGTCACCTTCTGTTCTTTTCACACTTATCAAGTACTTTTCACATTTGTCAATGTGTTCTTATCTCATTTATTATCTGCTTTGTAACAACAATTTTTTAAAAGATTATTTGCTTCTCCATGTATTTGAAGCTAATGATCGCCATCAGATCAAACTTTAGACAATAGTTTTAATGAATTTGTTCAAGGAAAGCATTCAAATTTGATAGAAAACTGAGCCTCTATATTTCATTCTGATTCTTCAACACAAAAATGAACTTTGGTAAGTCAGTAGGATCAACTGAGACATCTATGCTTGAATGTGCTCCCCTAGGTTTAATGTATTTTTCCTCACTGCATTATATTTTAATGATTAATTTCATGCTCTTTCATGGTATTTTAGCTCATGAATCATGGGTATTACTTTGAAGGAAAAGTAAAGCACTGTGTCTGATGAAAGATGTTACTGATTAAAGTGTTACATACATGAACTATATAAAAGCTGAAGGAGTTTGAATACTATCACTCTAGACTAAAAGTAATACCAGCAGACAGGCCAAACAGGCCAAGGTTAGACTGAGTCGAGTGGAGTGGAAAGAAGGCGTGAGCTTCCTCAATGTTCTTGATAGAAATAATATGTGAAATTAAGCTGGACATTTAATGTTTCACTGGCATATTTTTTCTCAGTGGAATATAGGTAAGAACTGATTTGAAAGACAACTGCAAGAGAGATACAGACAAAGAAATCAATTAAGCAAAATAACATACCACAGTGAAATTAAAGCAGCCAAAAGCCAAAAGCCACCCAACCTCTGACATATAGATCTCTGAAATCAGTGCTGCTTGAATGCTATCAGAACTTTGCTATTTAACTTGCTAAGAAGAAGAAAAAAAAAAAAGGTTTGGGTTAGTCAACAAGGGCCAAAAATGACTAGAACCTAAATCAAACATAGAAAAAAACATCTCTTATCCTGTGCATAGCTTAATAAATATTTTGTTAAACGTATCATATTTATCAATATCAAAAAGTCAACTATCCACAAGAGAAACCACAATTAAACTAACTAGAGATGTCCACACGAAGTCAACATGATAAACCTTGGCTCTTGTTACTAAAAGGAATATTTCAAACCAGGGTATGGAGCCTGAATAAAACTCTACTACCTTTCTCCAAACAGAGTACAAAGTTTCTTAATCAACGACAGAGGCAAAATGCTGCAAAAGCAGCTATTTTCAAACAGGTGGTTTTAAACTTTTACTTAAGCCGCCCAAAAAAAAAAAAAACTGAGGAAAGAAAAATTTTTTTTTCCTAAAAAAAAAAATACACACACACAAACACATGTTCTACCATAGTAGGAGGCTGGAATAAGGAAAAGCTCCAAATAAAACAGAATTAAAAAACAAAAAACTAACAGTTTGTCTTAGCTCAGAAGTGCTGACCTTGGGTTAGCATGTCTAAAATCACTGTTTACAATCAAATCCTTCCCGTGGCACACATAAGGTACCAGGGAGAACTCAAAGGAAATGGCCATGTTGTTTCAGGTAGGACCTTATTCACAGAAAGATGACATTTTTACGGAAAGAGTGCAGAGGGAAATCAGAAACTGTTGAGAGGAGAGAAAAATACAGTTCACTTCCGCTTTTCTGAGGGCACAGCATTTTTCGTTTTCTCAATACTTTGTCCCATCCTCCCCACGTTAAAATTATTTCGTAAACAATACTAGGTCTTGCGGCAACCGCTACAGCTGACGCACGGCTCTTCTCTCAGTTCTGCGCTTCACCCTCGCAAACAGGACTCGGCAGTCCGAGGTGAGGGCAGGGGGCCGGTGTCCAGAAACAACACTAGGAGGCGGACAGGGAGGCGCGGGGGTAGAATGGGTGGGACATGGGCGCTCACTGTCCCTCAGAGTCCACCTCTCCCCAACTCCTTGCGTCTCCAGTCACTGCCACTCAGGGCAAGACAAGACAGGCTTCCTTAAATCCCCTCAGAAGTAAACAAGTCCCAAGGCTAAGGGCAGCCCCACCAGTACCGGGAAGTCCTCGACTCCTCTCGCCGCCCGCCCACGCGGGGCTCCGGGGCAGCGCTCCTCCGCCTCCCCGCAGGTCTCCCGCGGGGGAAACTTTCCCGCGTCTCCCATTCCTCCCCGGGCGCGGTGGCCACGGAGGCCTCCCGGGCACCGACCAGCTGGACCCCCTCTCCCGCCCCGGGCGAGCCGGCACGCAGTCGATACCTCGATGTCCGCCGCGTCCTTGCTAAGCACAGGGGCCATGGCAGTGCCTACAGTCTTGAGTCTCCCACAGACAGACCCTTCTCTGCGTCCTCAGGCTCCAGCCAGAGACCGAAGTAACAGCTCGCCAGAGCGCGAGTGGGAATCGGAAAGCGGAGGCAAAGGCCGGCGGCGCGGGGGCGGGGTGGGGCGGGGCGGCGACGCCCCCCGGGGCGGGGCTGCGCGCTTGGCCCTGAGGCTTCCCGCGCTGGGCAGAGCCGCCGAGCCCAGCCCGGCCTTCCGCGGTCCGGTCAGCACCCCACCCCAGCCTGGCTGCTTGTTTTCCTCCGGCGGGTGGGAGGAACAGAACCTTGTACTGGGGACTGGCCTTTGCTCTGTAACTGATAAAGGCTCAGCCGGGCAAGAGGGGTCAGATGTGAGGGATCCCCAGGATTAAAGATAAAAACTATTGGCGCTCCAAGTAACACATTGCACTTTTTCTTTCCTTCAGCACGAACCCCGCGGCAGAAGCATTGTCTAAGGGGCAACTGCATCCTCAGAAACTCCTCAGGGATGAAGTAGTAGATGTTCCTCCGTCCGTCAGCAGATAGGCGGGCAGGGCTTTGGGCTACCCTGGAGGATACAGGAGCACCGGTCTTCTGAGAGTTCACAATCACTAGGGGCGGGGCAGGGAGGCAAGCAAAAATATCTACAGCTGGGAGCGGCAAGTGGTGAGTGCTGTAGGCGGTACATAATCAAGGTTGTTATTTTGCAGGACAATGTATTCTAATGGCTATTTAAAAATATATATATTATTCTAAAATGTGAAGCTCCTTCGAAGAGCTTGCTATTCATGTTTTGCTCTAGAGCTTGCTGAGGAGACAGGAGAGATTTCATTTAGGCTTGGTCCCAATCCAGAAATCATTTCCCTCTTCCTTGAGGATATCTGTACTCCAGATCTCTCTCCTTTTCTCCCCCAGTTAGATGCCTTTTCCCCCTTTTCTCCCATAACATTTTATACTTATTTCTATTAAGGCATTTATAGTACTCCTTCATCGTCTTGGCTAGATTTTGATCACCTTAGAGTCAGGTATTTCCCCTTTATCATTGTTTTTTTTCATTAGTACATTCATCATTTTTATTCAACAAATATTTATGGTGCATCTTCACTATGCCAGACACTGTGTTAGGTTCTCTGGATATAGTCTTCAAGAAGACACATCACTCTCGTGAAGATTATACTACGAGCAAGCAAAATATGATGCCTGCTTGGAAGATAAAAAAGGAATAGTACAGAATAACTGTGGCATGAGTACCTTGGGTGGTTAGAGAAGGCTTCTTTGAAGAAGCCAGCAGATTACCTTCCAGACTCTGGAATTTACTAGAGAATGGATACATTTTTCTTAAATCAAATATTATTATTATGAGAAACTATAAAGTTAAATAGAAACCTTAGAATCATCCTTGACTTTTTTATCCCTATTCCCTCATTTAATCCATTCCCAAGCTCTAAGGAGTCAGCCTCATAAACAGGTCTTGAATCACGCATTTTCCATCTTCAGTGCATCCACCATGGTCCAAGCTATTGGTATCCCAGCTTCTACTCTTACCTCCTCTCTACTCCAGATTGAGGTTTGAAAAATATTAATTGGCTCATGCCACCCGGACACACACCCACACATCTGCAAACCCATAGTGTAAATCCTTCAATGGTCCATTGCAGTCAGAATATAATACACACTCTTTAATGACTACTGAATCCTGTCTTGTCCCTCCTCTTCATCCTCATATATGGGCCACTCTTACCTTGATTCATTATGTTCCAACTACACAATAATCTTCTCATCCTCCAACAACTTCTCTCACTTTTCACATTGTCCTCCACTTGGAGATCTTCTTTTCCTTCTATTCTTCCTGTAGGTCTCAGTGAAGCCTTCCCCGACCCATCCCCACCATCAACAAAATTAGACCCAACCTATCTTTGTCATTTTCGTTCATAACAACTAATATTTTTCATCAGAGACCTGCCAAATTTTTTTGCTTGCTTATTTGAATGTGATATGTTTAATATATGTCTTCCATTTAGAATGGAGGCTCCAGGAAGAGAGGGCCCATGTCTGGTATAGTTGTCTGCTGAATATTTAGTTCCTAGCCCAGGAATGAAACATAAGCGACCAAAAATACCTAGTGCTTGAATAAACAGAGTAGATCCTGACTTTGATTTATACACTAAGTAGTTCATTTTAGAAACTTTAAGACTACCTCACCATGTATTCCTGTCATGGTACTTATTGCTGAAAAGTAAATCACAATATCTATCAATAAATTTCTAGTTAAAATGTATCAAATTAGCTACTTCTCTTTTCATGGATTGATGTTCCAAAGTCAGATGTTCCTGCATTTCCCTACAACCATACCTTACTACTGTCTCTATATCCTCTTGGAGATAGATATATATGTGTGTGTGTGTGTGTGTGTGTGTATATATATATAACATATATATACGACATATATATAAATATGTTATATATAAACATATAAACATAAACACATATAAACATACAAACTTATATCCCCACACATATGTATATATTGAGAAAGAGAAAGGAGATACCCACATATGTTTTGACATATATAATGTAGGTATAATATGATATATGTATAATTATAACACATTATTTCTTCTCCAATTTAATCAGTAAGGTTTAATATTCAATTTCCTAATATCCAGGGATAAAGACTTTTCTGCTTTTTTAGGTTACACTATAATACAAATTTAACAGTGAGCAATTGACGCTTTGCTTGTTTTATGGATACAAATATCCAAGTTATCCTTAAGAGTTAGACACTACATTCCCATATTTGTTTTCTGTGATTACGTTTCTCCTAAATGACCATACAGGATAAATTCAAATTTTATGTTGTCTTTCTGAAGATAAGAGATTCATCAGTGACATCAACAACCAAATATAAAATTTTAAATGTTATTTTACCTTCCCCAAAACTTTACCAGACAGATGAATCCTGTTCTGAAATATTTAATTAAGGCATCTAATCACATTGCTCACACACCACACCTATATTCTGTGACCAGTGATTGAATCTAATATTTTAAATCCATTGAAATTGCACATTAAACACAGTTGTACCTGTAAATAATCCAAGCTGTTTAAAGCTTACTGCAAATGCATTCACACCACACTTTTTAAAAGTTGTAAATTATGATGGCATTTGTCAAGCTGTCCCTCCATCTGGAAGCACAGTCAAATATCAGGTGTTCTACATTAATTTTTTGTAGGCTTGGGAGAGACAGCTCATCTCTCAACCTAGTAGTTTATAGTACACAAATGAATATTATTATTATTACCATAGTCAGAAGTAGGGCTTAGAATCATCTTTAATTTCACATCTGAAAAGTTATTCAATATCACAAATTCAGAAACATAATAAAATTCAGATTTCCATATGCCTTTATTTTACTCCAGTAGTCTAGCATTAAGCAACATTTTGGGGAGCTACATCTTGGAAGATGATTTCTTCCCAAAAAGTCAGAGACTTTGAATGCTCATGAGACCCATTTTTTCCTCCATGTGATTTTCTAGGGCCAAATTAATTCCTATCCAAACTGATTGGTATAATGAGCATGATCAGTTGTGCCCAAATATTTTTACTATTACTGCTCAAAAAAACATACAGTATATATATTAATTCATATTTTATTCAAGAAACCAGGTATAATGGACTCAATTACATAGATATGCTACATATAAGCACTTATTACATAAATGCACAGATAACAAAAAAGAAACTACAAATTCCTCCTAGAAATTTATGCAATTCAGTTATTTATTCAGTGCTATTATTTCAGGCACTGTGATAGGCATTAGTGTACTTTAGTGTACAATAAAGACATTATCCCTGTTATCACAAACCTTTAGCCATTAGCTAAAAAACACATATTGCCACTTAGTGATTTTGAGTAAATGGTCTAACTGAATCAGGTTATTGTGAAAGTCAAATGTCAAATGTATGTCATGTGTGCAATAGTATTGTATAAGTTGCAAAGTATTATTTATATAAGTTAATATTAAAAATTTAAAGATATAATTCTCCAATGTTCACATTCTGGAAAAATACCATTGGTGCATGATTACCTATGAAATGATTTTGGGTAAAATCCAATGTGAATGGGAGGTTTATAGACATATCTAACTTAACATGAGAAGGAAAACATCCTTTAGATTAGAATGAGTATTCTCTGAAAGAATTTCCCTCACTATTTAGAGGTCTTTTCTTTGTTTTCTTGCTGGAATTTTCATGTTTCATAATTTCAAATATACTTATGTCTGGGATTGAGACAGAACTTTGTTATAAATTATTTATTATTCTTTTTGATCATCTGTAGTAGATGTTGTGATGTGCTTCCTAGATTCCCACAAATCCCACAACCATTTAAGCCTGAAGCACTCATTCCCTCAGTGGCTGGGACTATTGGTAGTCGGCAGCTCTCTGCTGAATTCTTTTCTGGAAACCGCTCCTGGCTAAAAAGAGTCACCTTATTCAAAGTTCATGTCCTTTCGTGGAGCAGAAGATATCTAGTGACAAGTTGATGTGAGGATATAAAGGCCTGGCCTGTGCCTTAATTCGAGACAACTTTGAGGGGCCCTCCCAACTTCAGAGATCCCTTCAAGGGGATCAACTTAGACATTTTGGAGGACTTCAATAGAGTTCAACTTCTAAGTCCATCCATCCTGCTTCATTCTCCCACTCTCACTGGTCTTCATCAAGACACCACTGCCCAACAAATACATTTCCTGCATGCACATTTCTATCAATCACAGAGTCTGCTTCCCAGGAAACCTATGCTGCATTTTTATAAAGAGCTATCTTAATATAACGCATGTAACTGCTATAACAAAATACCATAATATGGGTAGCTTTTAAACAACAGAAATTTATTTCTCACAGTTCTGGAGGCTGGGAAGTCCAAGATCAAGGCATTAGCAGATTTGGTGTCTGGTGAGGGCCCATTTTCTGGTTCAGAGATGGCATCTTCTTGCTGTGTCATCAAGTGGTAGAAGATACAAGGCAGCTCTCCAGATCTCCTACAAAGGCCCTAATCCCATTCATTCGGGCTCTGCCCTCATGAACTAATCACCTTCCAATATCCTACATTGGTGATTAGGTTTCAACATGTAAATTTTGAGAAGCCAAAAACATTCAGACCAAAGCAATAGCCAAACTTTAAATACTGTAAATGTATGTATTGTCTGTGACTCAGCAACTCCATTTCTTATATTTTTAAGAAAAAGATTATTCTCGTATGCAAAATTTACCCAAAAACATGATTCACTCCAAAGTTGTTTATACAAAATTAGAAAGGTAACAATATATATGGCCTAAAACAGGTGACTAATCAATAACTGATTATATATATGTGCTTATGATGAACGATGTGGTGAATCCATATAATTCAAATTTATGTAGTCATTAGAAATAAGATTATAGAAGAATATTAACAGGGAAAGATATATATCAAGAGTATATATCAATAAATCAAATAACATAATAAGGTCTAAACATACATGGACAAGTAACAAACACATATTTCATTAATTATATGAAAGATTAAAAGTTTCTTTGAAAAACTTCATTGCATTATGAGCTAATATACCAATGCACATAACTTTTATAAGTTTGTATGTGCGTTCATATAAGTAAAACCCTCATT